TTTATAGGCAAGCAAACTGAGGTACAGCCTGGTAGAGTGATTTGTCCAGGGTTGTGAGCCTGGCTAGAGGTAGGGCTCTTTCCATTGCATCATGCTACCTCATTGAGGGAGGGGGAAGGGATGTTGAAGAAATGAGAGAAGCCCAGTCTGATCTCTCTTCACCTGCATCCATTTACACAGAATCTGTATTTGCCATTAATCTCATTTCCCAGTATTAAAAAACTAAGAATCAGAAACCTAGATTTCTAGTCTGACTCTACCACTGAATATGAGCTTAGACAAATCACTTAGCCACTCTGGGCTTCAGTTTCTTCATCTGCAAAATGGAGGAGTCCAGATAAATGACTGCTTTCTAAATCTACAATCTTCTGATTCATTGATCATGGGATCATAGATTTAGAGATGGAAAAGACCTTAGAAATCATGTAGTCAACCCCCCTTTCATTTTACAGATGAGGAAACTGAGGCATACAAGGGTGATGTGATTTGCCATGGTCCCAGGCAGCCCCACAGGCAGGATTTAAATCCAGGTCCATCTGACTCAAAATCTAGCACCTATCTCCCACACCATGCTTTAATTTATTTAGTGCTTTGAGTCTGTAAAGTCTCTATCCTATAGAGAAGGGAGTATAAACCAGTAAAGACCGAAGTTTAGAGATATTATGATGAATCAGTCATGGTCTTCTCCACTTATATCCTATTCTAATTTCTGAGATGTGGCTGGATGACAAACTATTTATCTATTACCTGAAGACCAGCCAACTTAAGTTTTAAAAGGCACTGAAAGTAAGTCATCACTAGATGATGAATTTTCTTAGCCACCACAACTTACAAAACGTATTTAGGCATGGAGGGGGAATACAAATCATGTCAATAGAGGAAGGCCTGTGGTACAGTGGAGAGCACTGGCTCTCTGTCAAGAAGTCGTGAGTCAAAATCTTGCCTCTGACACTTAATACCTGTATCACCTTGGGTAATTTACATAACCTATCTGGGCTTCAGTTTCTTTATGTATAAAAACAAGGGAGTTGGACTAGATGGTCTATTAAGTCAGTTAATAAGCAATTATTAAGCACCTACTTTGCCAAGCTCTTGTAATAAAGAAAGGAAAAAGACAATCCCCACTCTCCAGAAGCCCACACTCTAATGGGGGAAGATAATAGGCAAACAACTCATACAAATGAAATACAGACAAGATAATCTGAAGACAATCAATAGAGGAAGGCACTAGAATTAAGGGAGATAGGGAAATGGGGGTTTCAGCTGAGATTTGAAAGAAGCCAAGAAAGCCAGGAGATGAGGAGGGAGAGAATTCTGGGCATGGAGGCGAATACTCAGTCTGGAGATGGAGGGTCTTGTGCAGAACCACAAAAAGGCCAGCATCACAAGGAACATAGGGCCAGTGAGGGGAAGGCAGGATAAGGTGTAAGAAGACTGGAAAGACATGAAAGGGCCGGGTTATGAAGGTCTTTCAATGCTAAAGTGAATTTTATATTTGATCCTGGATGCGATAAGGGAACCACTTGTGTTTAGTGAATGAGAGGAAGGGGTTGATAGTGACCCAATCAGATCTGTACTTTAGTAAGATTAATTTGACAGCTGATGGAGAAGGGACTGGAGTAAGAAGAGACTTAAGACAGAGACACCAACAAAAAGGTTATTGCAATAGTCCAGGCATGAGGTGATGAGAGCCTGCTCTGCGGTGGTGGCAGTGCCAGATGAGAGAAGGGGGCACACGCAAGAGATCTTACAAAGGGAAAATAGGCAGAACTTGACAACAGACTGGCTATGGAGAGCAAGAGAAAGCAAGGGGTTGAGGAACACTTGTTTGTGAGCCTAGGTAACTGGAAGGATGATGGTGTGCCCTTAACAGCAATAGGGAAGTCTGGAAGAGGGGAAGGTTTAGGGGCTAAGATGAGTTCATATTTGGACATGCTGAGTTTAAAATGGGACATCTAGTTTGAGATGTCCAATAAGTGGCTGGACACATACTATTGGAAGCCAGCAGAATGGTTAGGGCTCGATGAGTCGATCTGAGAATCAGCAGCATAGAGATGATCACTGAATCCAGGAGAGCTGATGAGATCACCTAGTGAAACAGTATAGATGGAGAAAAAGTCCCAGTACAAAGCCCCAGGGGACATCCACCTTTACTGGGTGTGGCCTGGATGAAGATACAGGAAAAGGAGACTGAGGAGTGGTCAGTCAGACTTTGGAAAAGAATCAGAGTACTGCCATGGAAGCTTAGAGAGAAGAAGGTGATCAACAGAGTCCAAGGCTGCAAAGGTCAAGAAGGATAAAAACTGAAAAAGACTATTAGATTTGGCAACTAAGAGACCAGTGGTTACTTTGGAAAGAACCATTTTGGTTGAATGACAAAACACTAGTCAGATTGTACAGAGTTAAAAGGGAATGGGGCCCCTAGGTGGCTCAGTGGATAGAGTGCCAGGCCTGGAATTAGGAAGATACACATTTGTAGTTCAAATCCAGTCTCCGACACTTACTAGCTGAGTCTGCCTTAGTTCCTCATCTGCAAAAGAAGCTGGAGGAAGAAATGGCAAACCATTCCAATATCTTTGCCAAGAAAAGCCCAAATGGCATTACAAAGAGTTGGATTCAACTGAAATGGCTCGGCAACAACAAAGGGAATAAAAGGAAAGGAAGTGGAGGCATTGATTATAAATGGTCTTCTAAAGGATTTTAGCCATGAAAGAAGAGATATGAGACCATAGCTGGTGGAGATGCATAGATCAAGTGAGTTTTTTTAGGACAGTGGAAACATGAGCATGCTTGTAATTAATAATAGCCAGCATTTATATAGCACCTACTATGCCAGGCACTGTGCTAAGTGCTTTACAATTATTATCTCATTTGATCCTCACAACAACCTACCTGAGAGGTAGGTGCTATTACTATCCCAATTTTATAGCTGAGGAAACTGAGACAGAGGTTAAATAACTTGGCCACAGTCACACAGCTGATAAGAGTTTTAGGCCAGAATTGAACTTAGCTCTTCCAGCCAGCGCTCTCTACAATGACCCACTTAGCTACCTCTTAGAGCAGTAGGGAATCAGCCTGTTTGTTGACAAGGAGAGATTGAAGCTAAGTGAGGTAGCAGAAGTGGTCTAGAAGCCAGTCGCTGCAGAATATGGGATAGGATAGGATAGGATGGGACGGGATGGGATGGGATGGGACGGGATGGGGGGATGGGATGGGACGGGACGGGACGGGACGGGATGGGGGGATGGGATGGGATGGGATTACTTCTGCATGTAGAGGAGCTCATCTTTGCAAGGAGAAGGGCCATCTCATCATGACAGACAAAGATGACAGAAAGTGACATAAGGCATCTGACAGATATGAGATGAAGAGAGGAGAAGAGGGAGTTCTTGTGAAATGGCCTCCATTTTTTCAATAAAATATAAGGCAAAGTTCTAAGTAGAGAGGGCCAGGGCAAGGCAGCCAAGGAGGTTTGAAAAGGGACAGAAAAGTGTAGAAATCGCTGTAAGAGTGGTGAGTGGGATAGTGAGTTAATTAGGGAGATGGAAAAGGACTGCCTTGCCATATTGTGGTAAATTCTAGATCTAGGATCCATATGGATGAAATTATGCATCCTAGAGAACTGAAATAAGATCCTGTCACTTGCCCTGGAACACATGAATAACAATTATTTTTATATAGGAAGAAGGATGAGATACACATACATGTATATATTGGGTCATCTGGACCCATCCAGCTGTTGCTGGAGGGTAATACAGGCATACTTCAGCTAAAAATTGGTTCAACAAAAACATGATGTAAAGAGAATCAACATTTAGGGGCAATTAGCTCCACAGTAGAGAAGAGTAGGGCCAGAATGTCCCACGCAGGGACTGTCCTGAAAAAGAAGTTAAAGGATAGGGGAAGAGGAACAGGGGTTGATCTGGCCTACTCACTCTGGTCACGTAATTGCTGTGGCTTTTTGTAGACTTTAGTTATAAGGTTTTAACAAGATTATTATGAAAATGCAGGGGTATGAATATGTTTATTTGTTTTGCTCAATTATACTTATGACTCAATTACTCAAGCATAGTTATTACTCAGTTATACTTACATATTTATAACTATTGCATAAAACAATTATTGTTCAATTATGCTAAGAGGAAAGAGTTTCAATGTGGGGGGAAAGCTGGTGGGTAGTAATAGAGATGTAAAAATAAAAAGGGAAGAAAAGTGGGCAACAAATCTTTTTAAAAAATACACAGAAGAAAAAGAGAAGTTCAGAAAGAGACACAGAGAGGGGGATATTTTTTTCTACTTCATTCCTGTGTTAAATTGAAAATTCACTTTAAAAACCAACTGTACATAATGGAATTTAACAGTTTCGTGTATGATCCTTCTTTTTAATTTTTCATTGCATATCAAAATGTTTGTTAAGATCATAATTTTAAAAACAATATATTTTAAAATTATGAGAATAGGGGCAATGTTATAAAGGTTACTGCAATGGTACAAAAAATAGTAATAAGGGAAGGAAACAAACAGATTAGGCATCATGAAAAATGGTTTAATAAAACTGCGGTTTACTTTTTAATCTGATGACAATAGCTAGAAATAACCTATTTTCTTTTCTCCTTTCAAAACAGAGCTACATCTATGATGCTCTTTAAAAGTCTGCTTCTCAGAGTTTGTGGAACTCACACCTCAGCCCTCCCTGATTAATGTCCTCATTGGCTGTCTCTTAAGCTTCCATACAGGACAGATGGGTCCCCATTAGCTAATATCCCAGCAACCAGCCCTGTTCCTTCCAGGTGGTGCTGACGCAGCACAGACCCAAACGTCCTTCTCTGCAGGGGTTAGGGAGGTCACTTCTGTATCCATCTCCAACTTCTGACAACCTACAACTGTGAGTTTCTTCAGAGCCTCAGCTTTTCAAAGGGACCAATTGAGAACTATTCCCATGGGGGGCATATTGCCAAATGCAAACAAATATACAGAAAGAATTAAACGGGATGCTTTCCTTTTATAACTTAACCCCTTTCTTCAAAATAGCTGCCTGCCACAGAGACACCTGGCCCCTTTGAAATGCATTATGTTGGAAAGTTGTTTTGCAGAGAGGGGAATGCCCGGACTCCAACAATCACATCTTCAAAAAGGCCACCTGTAAAAGATAGAAACAAACCATAAAATATTTTACTTATAAATTTGACAATGTTTGAATGAACATTCAATCAAAGTCGGCTCCATCTGGTCAGCAAGGGTATACACTAAAGAAGGAAAAAATAAATAAACCTACACTTTAAGTGTTGTAGTTTTACAGTAACATCCAATTAGATAGAGCTTAATTAATGAACCACAAAGTAATTAAAATGATTAACATATCTTTTAAAGAAAATAAGGAGTTTTTTACTGACACTAAAGCTGTGCTCCCACCAAATAAAATTTTTCTACTGACTCATATGATTCTTCTGAATCTTTTGGAAATATCCATAGCTGTAGAAATGAATGAGGCAATTTCTAGTCCTCCTCACCAGTAAATTACATCCACCTAACTCAGTTCACCCTAATGTTTTTAATCATGTTTACTGTGCTTGTCAACAAGAACATCTTAAAATCAAGTGTTTATTAAATTTTTATTTCATTTATGGCCTCTACACAGGGCCATTTTCAAGTTATTTAACGAGGATCAGGTAGGATACTTTCTGAATTTCTAATGGTGTCAACAACCTGCCATAGCAGAGAAACAGAATTGTAAACATAATCTATTCAGCCACACAGATTTATGGGAAAACATGATTAGGCTATAAATTCAGACAGGGATAGAACCTGGAACTGTGATTTCATTGCTACAGTAAGCTTCCAGTGAGGAAACTAATTTTGCCAATGCAGGCTGGTGCCTTCTTTGCAAAACACAGCCTTAGAGAGTTGTCTAGAACAACACACAGCCTTAGAGAGTTGCCTAGAACAAAAACAGTCTTAGAGAGTTGCCTAGAACTAAACACAGCCTTAGAGAGTTGCCTAGAACTAAACACAACCTTAGAGAGTTGCCTAGAACTAAACACAGCCTTAGAGAGTTGCCTAGAACTAGACACAGCCTTAGAGAGTTGCCTAGAACAAAACACAGCCTTAGAGAGTCACCTAGAACTAAACACAGCCTTAGAGAGTTGCCTAGAACAACACACAGCCTTAGAGAGTTGCCTAGAACAAAAACAGTCTTAGAGACTTGCCTCAAACAACATACAACCTTACAGAGTTGTCTAGAACAAACACAGTCTTAAGGAGTCGCCTAGAACACTGAGAGGTTAAGTTACGTGTCCAGGGTCACACACCCAATATGGATTGAGACAGGACTCAAATCTAGGCTTTCTTGATTCCAAGGTTATCTCTTTAGGCATAATGCCATGCTGTAATTTCAGAAAGTATACCAACTGAATAGAAACAAAAATGGGGATTCAAGGCATGGTTCAATCAACCAACTAATGAAGAAGCATTAATTAAGTGCCTACTATATGCCAGGCATTCTGCTAGGCATTCAGGATACAGAGGCAAAAAGCAAAACAATGAGAAATAATTCCTGCTCTCAAGGAGTGTACATTCTATCAAGAGGCACAACATTTAAGTATATACAGAAAAAAAATCACATAGTTATATTAAAGTAATTAGAGACAACAGGCACTAGAATTGGGGCAATCAGGATAGACAGTATAAAAGGTGGTACTTCTGCTGCATCCTGAAGGAAGAGAGGGATTGCATGAAGAAGAGATGAGGAAGGAGTGCATTCTAGGCATGGGAAACAGACAGACATGTAAGATTTGGGGTGGGGTGGGGTGGGGATAGAAATAAAAACAATTCAACTGGTGAAGGAATCTGGAAAACCTATTAAAGCCAAAGGGAAACTCACAAAATAAATAAATCCACAGAAGCAGATGAGATCACCAAGCAGGACAGAAGAGATATCCATGGTAAGTGGCATGACCTGGATGAAGATCTGTTTTTTCTATTTTTAAAAAAGTTTTATTGCTGTTTTCTATTTGCACTGCAAACATTTATAGACCACTACTTCTTCATGAGAGGTCTCTTTTAACAAAGTAAAATAGTTAAGTAAAACTAATATTATAGCAACTTCTTCTGAAAGGGCATACAACTTTTAAACACTCCCATTTCTCTCTCTCTCTCTCTCTCTCTCTCTCTCTCTCTCTCTCTCTCTCTCCTCTCTCTCTCACCCTCACAACACACACACACACACACACACACACATCAATAGAATTTAAATGAATAGAAATGTATTTTCTCTGTCTCCCACCTCCCAACCTCACAAAAAATTTGGAAAAGAAAAAACAAAATTTCTTGTAACAAATATGCATGACTAAGTAAAAAAAATTCCTCAATGGCTGTATAAAAAATTGTGTATCCCTCAATCTGCACCCTAAGTCTATCACCTTGTCACTGATGTGAATAGCATGTTTCATCACTGGTGGTCTACAATCATGAGTGGCCATTGTATTGATCAGGGTTCTAACAGTCTTTAAAGTTGTTTGCTTTTCAGTGTTGTTATGTATAAATTGTTCTCCTGGTTCTGTCCATTCATTTAATTCATCCATTTATAAAAGTCCTCAAAATTGTTCATTTTTATAATATTGACATTATAGGTATAAATTATTCTTCCATGCTGCATCAGTTCATATAAGTCTTTCAATGTCTTTTCAAAACCAGCTATTTCTTCATGTTTTTCTACACAATAGTAATTTATCACCTGTACTATGTTCTATTTTATATACTATATAATTATGTACAATAATTCATTTATCTCTTGCTCAATTTATGGATTTCCTATTCATTTCCAGCTTTTTTGTCACCATGAAAAGAGCTGCTATAAATATACATAAAGGGCCTTTTCCTTTGTCTTTGCTCTCTTTTGGACACAGGCCCAGCTGTGGCATAGCTGGGTCAAGGGGCACACACACTGTTAATAACTTTTTATGCACAATTCCAAATTGTTTTCCAGAATAGCTGGTGAGCCATTCATAGGCTGACTGGTCCAAAGTGCATCAATGAGCCTGTTTCCTCACGGCCTCCCTGTCATTGATCACTTTCCTTTTCTGTCATTTTTCCACTCTGATGGTTGTAAGGTTAAAAACCCTAGAAAACACAGGAATAAATAGGCATCTCCTTAAAATGATAAATAGTATAATAGCTAAAACCAAAAGTTATCATTACTTGTAATGGAAATAAAACTAGAATCTTTTCTAACAAATTGAGAGATGAAATCAAGATGTCCATTGTCACTACGTCGATTTGACATAGTACTAGAAATGATGGCTACAGCAATAAAACAAGAAAAAGAAATTGAAGGAATAACCATGAATAAAGAGTCAACCAAAAATTTAATTGCAACAACTAATAACTTTAGCAAAACTTCCAGGATGTAAAATGAATGATCAGTATTTCTTAATAATACCAATAAAACTCAGCAGGAAGAAATAGAAACATTCTGCTGAAAATGACTATAGAATGTATAAAATACTTGGGATCCTTCAGCTTCAAAAGGGGAACAACAATAGCTATAATACTTTCCTTACAAGATTTTTGTGAAAGATAGTCTCTTGTAAAGTGCAAGATGCTATATAAACGTTAGCTCTTAGTATTGCTGTTATTATCAGCATTTTAGTATTGTTATAGTAGTGCTACAGGTCAGTCTCCATTTGGGAATTTCTATAATTCTAGGATGGAATTCTGGAGGAGGCAGAAGGATGCACTCACAAGTGGGGAGAAGGAAATGGAGCAGGACGTGCTTTTTGTAGCAGGCAGCACTTGAGCTGAGCTTCAAAAGGAGCTAGAGATGAGGCAGGAAGGAGAGCATTTCAAGCATGGGGTTCACTGCTCCCAAGGCATGCTGAAAATCATTACATTACAGAAGAATAACACCACCTTACAATGGTATCATGCTTTGTAATTTCCTGAGTATTTCTTACCAATCTAATTTGAGTGTCACAGCCACTTTAAGGGAGACAGACAGAGAAAGACATGGAGGGAGAGAAGGAAGGAAGGAAAAAAGTAAAGAAAGGACAGAGGGAGGGAGGAAGGAAGGAAGGGAGGGAGGGAGGAGGGAATTACTAAGCACTTACTATGTGCCAGGCACTGTGGGAATACAAAATAAACAAAAAGAGAAACAATCTCTACCCTCAAGGAGCTAGCATTCTTTTAGGGGAAGGTAACACAGAAAGGGGAGCTAAAAAGGGAAAGGTGCTAGATGGGATATAATAGGATTTCTATTCCTAAGAGAAAAGTTAGAAAAAGCAGATAATATTCTAGAAACTGAGAGATCTTTGGTCTTGGTTTGTAACCTACCATGAGAATTTTTTTTTTCTTTTGAACAAACCTTGCTGGAAGCTCGACCCTAGAGGTGAAAACAGTCTCCATTTCAAAGCTGCAAAAGGCTGGCTGTGATTTAATTACATAACTATGAATAAGAAAAAATGCAGGCTCTAGAAAGAACTCTTTGAAAAGTTGATCCAACAAGTCTTTTCTCACTTATAATTTCTATGATTCAGCAATCCCAGTACATTACGTATGTATGTTTTTTTTTTTAGGATGTAATAATAAGAAACCATAATCATCCCTGGGAACAGGTAACCATCCATTGCATTTGGGCTTCTTTTTATTTAAAACGCTATGAGTTAACACATTTTAAATGCTGATTTTGTATTCCCTAGCTCTTATCCATGACAGGAAAAATTGCCTTCCCTGACTGCCATTTATTTTAAGAGAAGATAATTTGATTTTGTTCCACTGCACCGAGAAAAATCTCTGCATTTCATCTTTCCAGCTTTACTCTCCAAAGTAAACATTTCAAGGCACTTGAAAATGTAAGAATATAGCTGCAGATTTTTAGGCTTTGTTGCTACTGAAATATATGGTCACCAAGGTTTGCAAAGATGCCAAGTGAACTAACCCAGCATGGCAGCTGTGCCAAAGTGAAAAGTTGGAAATATCTAGATTCCAATTCCATCTCAGACACTATGTGACCTTCGGTAAGTCATTCAGTCAGACTCTTTGAGCCTTAGTTTCTTCATCTGTAAAATGGGAATAATAGCACCATCTACCTGACAGCATTGTTTGTGAGAATCAGATGAGACAAAATATATGTCAAATGCTTGGCAA